GACAACGTCAAGTGATGAGATATTGCTTTCACAAATTTTGTTTGGACCAAACTATTTCATCTTAGTGGCTCACAATTATCCTTCAGCTTTATCATCCTCAATTAGATGGGATAAGTTGTGAAATTGCATTAATCAAAATATATCTTTAATGTTTTAGCAATCATTGTCCTAAAAGATGGGTTGACTGCTCAGCTTTGGGTCAGTTTTCTTATAGTTCTGGCATCTACTGTGCAGTAAAACATAATTCATTTGAGGATGTTTATGGAAACCAACTCCTACTTTATTATCTTTTTCTCCTAGACTTACTGAAGTAGAAGCTTTTGAGGTCACATTTGGGATAGAGATGTTCCTCTCTTACCTGCATAAACATCTCCTTGAATCACAGGGAACTATTGGAGCCCCACTATGACTCTCATCACCAGGATGGTTCTTTTGCAGTGGCTGATCTAGTTCTAAAATTCCAACCATATCCCCAGTTATCATTGGCTGACCAATCAAATAACAAGTTTTTGTCCTACATTTTATGGCCTCTTTCCATAGTAAAACACATTGGCTCAGTTGCTTATTAGCTTGATTTTCCTCTGGGAGGTAAGTTGCATCTCATTTTTCATATATCCTGTTTGAAGGAATTAGCGAATGCTCCCCCCTACTGCTACCTTTATCTCAATTGTCATGGAGGGGCTAACCAAGCTGACTTCATAAGCAGCAGCAGCAGATTATCAGTTTCTCTAAGGAACAAAATGAAGTCCTAGTCCATTGAGGAGGTCTTTCACCTGCAGATGCTTCTAGGGAGCCTGTTGCTCATAGCTGCCCGTTACCCCACTTTTGCACTCAAAACAAGCACTGTCTTGAAAGGGGAGTGATTTTATGAGCCCAAACAAGTTATCAACATCAGTTAATAAGGGGATTCAAAGCTTGAAGCAGTCAAGGTGGCTCATTTTTATGGGCAGGTTTATAAATGTCTACACATGGGAAAGAAAATCAACCAACTCAAGGAGTAATTCAGACCAGATACACTTTAAAAATTTCTAGGTTGTTTCTTAATTTTCCTATTTTTTCCTAGTTCAGCAGTTTCCCTACATTAGGAATTCTCAAAGCAGTTTATTCCAGTTCTCCTTTAGGTTATGCAAGTTTGCAGAAGTTCTTCTTAGTGGGAAATTCTTCTTGTAACGGATGATAAAATCTCTATAGAAGGAAATGAAAGCATGTAAAACTTTTACATCAAAGTTCAGGTTTCTGTCTAAACTCTGAGATCTTAGGTTCTCTCTTATGAGCTCTCATCTATTGTCCCAATAGGAAAGACAGGTACTAAAGATTCTAAAGTTCTAATATTCTTAGATTACCCGGTCTCTAGCCCCATAACCTGATTCTTAACAAGGGAACCTAACACCAAACTTCAAAAGAAAACAGATTTCAATTTTTCAGTTGTTTCCCATTCAAATTACATGCATATTTTCCTTCAAATTACATGTTTGTGTAATTTAACAAAGAATCTAAAGATGTGTGACATCCTCCAGCTCCTGCTGGAATGTTGTGGGTGCCTGAACTTCAAATGCACAATATAACTTTTCAAAATCCTAAAAGCAATTCAGTGCAAAGCGGCACAGAGCATACACCTCTTCTAATCAGTGAAAAAAAAAAACTAATGAACATGACGTAAAAATAGATGACTGAAAAAAGGTATAAATAGGTCCTCCAGAGCTTACTGTTAGTGCTAGAAGTTGAACTTTAGAATTCTTACTACCAATGCGCTTTTTTATGCCTTTAACAACATCTTTTGCTTGCCTGAAAAACAATAGTTCAAAACTGAATTCAACATTTATAGATATTGAAAATAAAAAACTGTCTAATACCAAAAAAAACAAAATCTTATCTTCCATTCCATGACAAACATTTTCAGTTTTCTTTAATTCAGTACAGAAACCAGATTACTATGACTGCTGACTTTGATGCTTATTCATAAAGATTCATTCATAACAAATTAATTCCTAATTTAGGAAGTCAACCTGCGTTCCAACAACCCTAACAATCACATGAAACAATCAATGTGAACACTGTCCACAACCCTAACAATCACATGAAGCAATTGATGTGAATACTGTTCACTTTATACCCTAAGGTTCACTACTAATGACAATAATCAAAAAGCAGCAGCAGATTTTACACAATGGAATAAAAAGGCCATGCGTTCTGGATAATATGTGAATAAATCTTCAAATCCAGGATAATTAGACAACTTAAATTAATCAATAATGCAGTTTGCTCAAACGTTTATGAGAATCCATATAATTCTAAATAACTAAACAATAAACATCGAGCTTAAGCATTCGCTAAGGTGCCTTATTAACTTCTTCAACCAAATAGACACTGCTCCATTCAGTTGCATAAGATTTAAAATTTAAAAGAGAGAGAGAGAAAGAGAGAGAGAGAGAGAGAGAGCTAGGGAAAGATATCGAATAGATGTTTTTTCTTTTCAATTATAGTATAGCGATCATATGAAACTCGAGAGACGAGCTTTCTCAATCGTCAAAACCAAAGCTATTAGCATGTTCAATCTCAAAAAGAATTCCAATATATTTCGTCATATCTTAGTCATTTCCGTTTCATAGAAACCAAACACGAAGAAAATGGGTGAATCAACATCACGCTCGACAAAAGAGATACCGTACAGTACAATACAATTCCAAAAACCAGAAGAAGTAAATTGAGGAGGAGATAAAGTGGAAATTAGAATCCAGTGCGACGCGTACCCAGGGTCGTGATTAAGCATGTCACAGATCTCGATGTTCATGGCCCAATCAGGCCCGATCAGCATGTCGCTCGTGGCTCTCTCCACCAAAGTATTCACCATCTTTTTCTAATCAAAAACCAAACCTCCCCGATAGATCAAAAATATTCCGTCGACCGTACACAGTCCTCCGTCCAGATCACAAAAAATTTCAAGGAATATTTCGACGACTCGCTCCCTCTCTAGATCAAAATAAATCGAACAGTCCTACTCAATCCGGAAGTCACTCTCCTCCTTTCTCTCCCTTCATTCAACTCTCTCTCTCTCTCTCTCTCTCTTTCTCTAAACTCTCTCTTCCTCTCCACCTGTGACAGATCAAATCAAATAGTTCTTTATTTTTCCGTTGAGGAGCGATTTTTGGGTGTTCGGTTTTTTCCTTTTCTGTCCATTTTTTTTAATATTAAATTTTGCTTTGAAAAGAGAAATCAGGACCGACGTGATTCTGCCACGTGTAAGGTTTGGAGTCTACTCTTACCCGCCGCTGTACTTTCTTCTGATACGTTGGCTTGGCCGACCTATTTCATCCAAGGCTTTTTATCGTTTTTATCTAGGAGAAATCTGTTTTTAATATCTGAAATTAAGGAAAAAAAAAATTATTATTATTATTATTATTATTTTACTTAAATCCAAAAATCCGAAATTTAAAAAGGTAAATTATTATTTTAATTTCTTAAAAAATTTTGTCATTTTCAACAAGCTCCTTAGTTTGGATTTGTTTTTTTTCCTCTCTAATTTTATCTTCTTCGTATGTTTCAAGTGTAGAAATTTGTCTAGTTGTGGTAGCACTTATTTGTTTGGTTTGTGGGTAGAATATTTTTCTACTTGATAAATTTTATACCATTAGAAAACAATAAATTTTTAAGTTAATTATAATTAGATGTTATAAGAACTTCAAATGAGCTCAATTGAACTTTTTTGTCTAAATATTTTAAACATCAATACATTAAATAGATATTCTTATAAAAAAGAAAAAGGAGAAGCGTATCTATAATTTTTTATATTCTACAAAGTAATTAACTACTCGTATAAATAGAGAGTTATATTTATTAAAATAGTTAAATTATGTAAAATTAGTTAAAAATGATATAACCAAATATAGACGAGAATATTTTTAAATATACTTTTGATGTAAGTTTAATCCACTAAGAGATAAATTCATGTAGATTTAAAAAAAAAATATTTAATTTCTATACAATACTCAAAAAATAATTTATAAATATTAAGAAACTAAAAGTTACTAAAAATTTTTTTATTATTCGCAATATGTACATAGTTCACATGTCTATAATTTTAGAAAATGTTGGAGAAATCTCATAACTCACACTACAATTATTTATCTCATTTATTCCCTTTAGTTTTTATTTAATATCAGAAAGTGAGTTATTCATTTGTATACCTATTATTTGAGAGACAAAACTATATATTTTTTTTCATTTTTATTGTCCAAGAGATACAATAAATGTTTGTTGAAACCATTTAAAAGTTTAATATTGGGAGGGGGACACAAGTAAAATATGAGTTTGACATATTGATATACAAGTTACAATGGTATGAAAAATATAAATGACATATGAGATTGAGACATTAATAAATATATTGAGTATTCAATTGAACATGAGTTATTGGTGAATGCGTCATAAATAAGTAGTTTATTTTGGAGAAAATTGTAGCGCCCGGACCGAGGAGAAAAAAAAAAAAAACCACGTCGGCAGCCACGTCAGCAGGCCCGGTCAGCAGTCCCGGCCAACCGGGACCTGCCACGTGGCAAAACAACGTCGTTCCAAAAAGGGCCACGTTGGCAATCCGCGTGGGCGCGATCGGACGGCCCAGATTTAAATGCACGGACGGCCCAGATTTAAACGCACGGACGGCCCAGATTTAATCAAAAACGGACGGCCCAGATTAAAACAAAATGGACGGGTGAGATCAAAAGGCAAGGGGTTATAAATAGAACCCCACACCAGACCACAAACCCTAGCCGCCTGCCACTCGCCGGAGAAGACGAACCAGAAGCCGGCCGCCGCCACCCGCCGCCGCACCGGAGGAACTTCCGACCGCCGATCGAGGTAAATTTCGTACCCCCGACTCGTTTTTCCACGCTGATTCCTCCTGTGACCAAATCGGAGCCAAAATCCCGGCCAAACGGCCGGAATGCAAGGCCGAAGCCCAGCGGCGCCGCCGCGCCCTTCTCGGTTTTTGCCTCCGATGAGGCCCTTCCCGGCCTCCGTTTAATGCAATTTTTATATCACAGTGATCACCACTCTTTTCTATACAGGTTGACTGGAGCCGAATCACCAAAACACGAACCTCGCCGGAGAGCCGCCGCACCCGAGAGCGCCGCCGCCGGTAAGCTCCGTTTTTCCGTGATTTTTTGGCCCCCCGAGGGCCCTAGGATTGTTTTCTCGCATGGACCGATGCGAGTGTGGCCGAATTCGGCTAGAAACGGCCGAAAACAGCCAACCCGAGGCGAATCGCCGCCGCCAGCGGCGGCGTCGTCGCCGGAGCACGGCGGAGCCACCGTGCCGGAGTTGCGATTTGGGCCGAAAGGGGCCCTGGGCCTAATTTGGGATTTTTTTTTGGAACACATGCAGGTACCAGTAGTGCGTTTCAGTTCCCCAAGGAAAATTCAGGAAAAATTAGGGACAGCCTGCAAGCGCACTGTGGAGCCGTGTTCGGACCCCGAAACGAGTAAGGACCCCTCACCTTATTTTCTATCACGGTTTTAAAGTTCAATAAATGATAAAACGATATTTCATGAATCAACGAATGTGTGAAATTGCTTAGGGTCGCTAATGGAGCCCGAGTCTAGTATGTTTGTCGGTTAATTGTTATTTGGGCTGTTTTACAGTTTTAAACGTAGCATGAGGTTCGATGTTTTCATTTTATAGTTTCGTGTGCATGTTTTACTGTTTTATTGATTATGGATTAAATGACCGGAATATTGATGCTGTATGTTGTCTGTTTAGCATAAGTTATCGTTTTGCTTGCTTGTATGTGGATTAATGATGCTGATTGAGGAAAAAGAGAACGAACAATTATGTAAATGGATAATGGAATAATGTGATCAGCCTGACTAGATATCCTGAGAGATGGTGGACGGACCGGGTCCGTAGGGGACCCTACCGGGATTGTGGTCTCCCATACCGGACGGGGTATGGAGATCTTATGTGTTTTGGCGCCCATACCGGACGGGGTTTGGGGACGGCCCGTTTCACCCTCATACCGGACGGGGTAATGAGGTCTATGGTTTGGCGCCCATACCGGACGGGGTATGGGGACGGCTCTGGAATTTGATTTCAAGTATTACAGATTTACGGGTAGCGGGACCCCCTATGGATCCCCATGGATACTAGTGGGTTGGTGAATTAGGAAAATATGTTGTGTAACGATTGAATTACGAAAAGTGTGATAGGTATTATGTTATACAGTTCATATATATGTTTCCATGATGATAATGATGTTATTGCTTTCGTACATTGTTTTATGAATTTCACCGAGGTAAGTAAATGGTAAAGGTTTTATTTATCGATAAAAGGATTTGTTGTAAATTATGCTCCATTGGTCGTTTTGTGTTTTCTACCCACCTTTACCTCCGTGATGGTGAGATATCGTGATGTCTTTACTGGGCTAGTGTAACTCATTCCTTATTTAATCATTTCAGATCAAGAGGACATCGTTCCCGAGCCGATTCCGCAGGAGGACGACGAAGGGGACGCTTAAAGACTCCATAGTCACATTCGTAGTTTTTACTTTCAAGTTTCTCCTTTAGGTAGTTTAATCTTTTATATCTTGTGAGCACGTTTCGGTTTCAGTGTAAGGGATGTTATTCAAATTTTGACCTCGCTTCCGCATTTGATATTTTTGAATATAAAATTCCATTTTAAATTTCCGGGGCTGCTACAGTTGGTATCAGAGCCGCATTTTCTCGGACCCATCCCTTACACTAATGTGCTTTAAAGAAATACTCACCGATATATTGTTACTCAATCATTCCTTGTGAATGCAGGTACACAGGAATGAGGAGAGGAATGCTCCTACTAAACCGAGCGGTCCCAGATAATTCAATTCGGGAGGATTTAGATAGACTATTCGAGATGGTGGAGGCTCTCGCAGCTGCCCAGCGAAGACAATAGGAGAGAAGGGAGTTACCGGGACCTCCTCCACTAGCGCAGGTCGAGCCCCCG